ACTCCCTGCAGACACAGGATGGATCCTTTTCCCAGGGGAAGTGTCCCTCCATTCTGGCTCAGGTCAAGACCACTCCCCTTTGAGATTGCTCATAAATTCTGAGGATTCTGGAGGAATGAGGTCTACATAAGTCAAGTCAGGCATTCATGTTCACATAGTGTCTAGTGCTGCATTTGTTTATCTGTTGTCCCTCCATTTCTGTGACCCCTCCCTTTGCCCCCCACAAAGACAGATAAATGAACAAACAAGACAAAAGGCTTTACACCATAACTATTTTATAGGAACCAAAGGCACCGTGCCTTCCTGCTCCTCCCCTCACACTTGAGTTTTTAGTTTGGTTAATGGCCTGATTTTGACTTTTTTTTTCTTTTTTTTATCAGTCGTGGGGCTTGAACTCTGGGCCTGGGCGCTGTCCCTTAGTTCTTCAGCTCAAGGCAAGCGCTCTACCACTTGAGCCACAGCACCACTTCTGGTTTTCTTGTAGTTTATTAGAGATAAGAGTCTCATGTACTTTCCTGCTTGGGCTGGCTTTGAACCTCGATACTCAGATTTCAGCCTCCTTAGTAGCTCGGATGACAAGCATGAGCCAAGGGTACCCAGCTTTCTTTGACTTTTCTAGGGGATGGGATTGAGCCCAGGTATTGAGGACCAGTCCTGGGTCTTCAACTCAGGGCCTGGGCACTGTCCCTGAGCTCTTTTGCTCAAGGCTAGCACCCTACCACTTTGAGCCACAGCACCACTTCTGGTCTTCCAGCGGTTAACTGGAAGACCAGAAGTGGTGCTGTGGCTTCCTGCCTCCTGAGTAACTAACAGGTGTGAGCCACTGGCATACACAACCTGAGCTACTTTAAAGCTTTAATTAAGTGCCCAGCTTCAGGCATTTTATTATAGCAATGGAAAATTAATACACCAAGTAATCCTAACATCTGCTGCCCCCCCACTTCTCCAGCCACACCCAAGTAATTGTTACACTTTTTCTTTGTCAGTTGTGGGGCTTGAACTCTTGGCCTGGGCTCTGCCCTTCAGCTCTTTTGTTTAAGACCAATGCTCTACCACTTGACCTACTGCGCCACTTCCCATTTCTGGTGGTTTATTGGAGGTAGGAGTTTCATGGACTTTTCTGCCCGGGCTGGCTTTGAACCGCGACCCTCAGATCTCAGCCTCCCCAGTAGCTAGGATTACAAGCGTGAGCCACCATTGCCTGGCGCCCCTCCGCTTTTGCTCAAAGCTAGTGCTCTACCACTTGAGCCACAGCGCCACTTCTGGCTTTCTGGTGGTTAACTGGAGATCAGAGTCTCACAGACTTTCCTTGCCCATGATGGCTTTGAACCGCAATCCTCAGATCTCAGCCTTCTGAGTAGCTACGATTACAGGTATGAGCCACCAGCACCCAGCTACACAAACATTTTCACACTTACACAAGTATTCTTACATTAGCAATGCTGAGATTTCCTTCCTAGAAATCAGAACTTGGGGTGTCTTCTCCCAGATGTTTCCACTGTCAACCTTTGGGGGACAGTATGCTAGCCTAGTAACTGTGGACAAATCCCCAAAATACAGAAAAAAAAATCGATCATCAATTACAAGGAAAACAACCTGTAACAGAACTATAGTCTTCACATCACAGGCAGCTAATTTAACTAATCCTTTTTCCACAGATGTTTTCCATAGCCTTAGCCCAGGGGCAAAGAGTTCAAGAAATAGCTCACAATTCCAAGCAGGGCAAAGGTGGAGCTCTAGCGCCCTCTGGTGTCCACTACAGAGAATAGGCTCGGATAGCTGGCCATACTCACCCAGTAGCCAGTAGCCAAAGCCACCCAGTCAGCTCAGAAAGTAACAAGGGGGCCAGGTGCTGGTGGCTCACACCTGTTATCCTGCCTACTCAGGAGGCTGAGATCTGAGGCTCAAAGTTCAAAGCCAGCTCGAGCAGGAAAGTCTGAGACTATCTTCAATGAACCACCAATAAGCTGAAAGTGGAACTGTGGCTTAACATTAGAATGGTAGGGGTAGAACAAAAAAGCTCAGGAACAATGCCTATGCCACAAGTTCAAGTCCTAGTACCTCACCAAAAAAAAAAAAGTAACCACAGGTCCTTCTGTAGGAGAATGGTTACATAAACATCCATCCAAGAGGGCGCCGGTGGCTCGTGTGTGTAATCTTAGCTACTCAGGAGGCTGAGAACTGAAGATCATGGTTCAAAGCCAGTCCAAGCAGGAAAGTCTATGAGACTGTTTTTGTTTTTCTTTTTTTCGATGGGTTGTGAGGCTTGACCTCTGGGCCTGGGCACTGCCCCTCAACTCTTCAGCACAAGGTGAGCTCTCTACCAGTTGAGCCACAGCGTCACTTCATTTTCTGGTGGTTCACTGGAGATAAGAATCTCACAAACTACCGGGCGCAGGTGGCTCATGCCTGTAATCCTAGCTACTCAGGAGGCTGAGATCTGAGGATCGCAGTTCAAAGCCAGCCCGGGCAGGAGAGACCGTGAGACTCCTATCTCCAATAAACCACCAGAAAACCGGAAGTGGCGCTGTAGCTCAAGTGGTAGAGCGCTCACCTTCAGCTGAAGAGCTGAGGGACAGCGCCCAGGCCCAGACCAAAAAAAAAAAAAAGAACCTCACAAACTTTCCTGCCCAAGCTGGCTTTGAACGGTGATCCTCAAATCTCAGCCTCCTGAATAACAAGGATCTGTGAGACTCTGATTTCCAATTAACTCTTAGAAAACCAGAAGTGGCACTGTAGTTGAAGTGTTAAAGAGTACTAGCCTTGAGCAAAAGAGCTCAGGAACAGCACCCAGGTTCAGAGTTCAAGCCCCAGGACAACCAAGAAAAAATCCATCCAGGCAATGGAATACATTCAGAAATAAAAAGAAATGTCATCTTCTCCCACAGAAAGACATGGAGGAACTTTTTTTGTTGGTTACAGGGCTCTACTACCTGAGTCACAGCACCACTCCAGTAAATTAGTCTCATGGACTTTCCTACCCAAGCTGGCTTTGAACCAGGATCCTCAGATCTCAGCCTCCTGAGTAGCTAGGATTACAGGCATGAACCACCAGGGCCCAGCCAATGGAGGAACTTTAAATGACAATTTGCTAAGTGTGAGAAGTCAATCTGAAATGTCTGCAGGTTAGGCAACAGTGGCTCACCCCTGTAATCCTAGCTATTCAGGAGGCTGAGATCTGAGGACTGTGGCTCCAAGTCAGCCTGGGCAGGAGAGTCCATGAAACTCTTATCTCCAGTTTACCATCAAAAAGCCAGAAGTGGAGCTGACCTTAAGTGGAGCTGTGGTAGATCAGTAGGCTCAGGTCCTGAGTTCAAGCCCCAGTATGGGCACACATAAAAACAAAAAAACAAAGTTCAGTTGCCTGGGATGTATCCCTGAAAGTGGATTTAACACATACTAGAATTTGTGTGTGCGTCATTTGGGCTGCATGCATTCCAGCCTGGTTTTTTGGCCTCAGGTGATTTTAAATCCTGATCCTACACAAGTGGCTGGTTGTCATGGGAGTGAGTTGGAGGGAAGACTGCTTTGGAGACAGTTCCCACAAGAAGGCCTCAGGTGCTTGGTTCGCAAGCTTAAAGCTTTAGTGTTGAGGTCTGGAGGCCTCTCCTCGCACACACAGATAACTTCGGTGGACAGATCTAGTAGGATGAATCTAGCACAGAATCCACGCAGGCTCTCAAGGGCAGCATGGGCCCCCAGGACAAGCGAGAAGTGTGCCCTAGGCCCAGACGCGCACTGAGCCACAAAAAGTCTACAGGAGGGCGTGTCCAGGTTCTATGCAAATTCCAGGCCTTATTTATAAGGGACTTGAGGAACTGCACATTTGGGTGTCTCAGGGTATCCTGGAACCTGGCTTTACTCCATCCCTATACTAGTATTGGGACAAGCTTCCAGGGCTAACTAGGTGGACCTGCCCCTCCCAGAAGGGGGCTGGAGGTCTTCAAAGGGACAACCTCCCTCCCTCCAGGCTCCCTTGACAACCTCGTAAAGATGCATACGGAAGGGACACATGCTCCCACCATCCACCCCACCTATGCACATGCGTGGGAAATCATGCATACATTCATGCAATTAAGAGGTCTGCTAGTTTCACTAGCACAGCAAGGCAGGAGTGCCAATTCCTCTTATTAGGGCTCTGGCGCCCTCTGCTGGTCTTCCTAAGCACCACAGAAGGAAGTATTTTCCCACCAAGGGCATACCAGAGGACTTTTAGACTAGCTTACGAAGTGTAGATTCTACCTAAATAGCAAGAGCGTTTTGTTTTGTGCCAGCACTAGCGACTAAACTCAGGGCTAAGACACTGACCCCCTAGCTTTTCACTCAAAGCTGGCGCTCTAGCACTTGAACCATAGCTGCACTTCTGGTTTTTTCTCGGTTGTTAATTAGATAAGAGTCTTACCCTTTCTACCCAAGTTGCTTTTGAATTGCCATCCTCAGACCTCAGCCTCCTGAGCAGCAGGAGGTTTACAGGTGTGAACTACCAGTGCCCAGCAATGTGGGTGTGTTTCCGTGTGTGAAGGCCAAAAACAAAATAACAGAATAGATAACAATAAAGACAGCTGTTCCATCTCACAGTTTTATTAGCCAGGCAGAAGCTCCCAGATGACACAGGCAGTCTCATCCTAATAGTTTTGCTTCAGGTTGTTATGTCATGACCATAACCCAGCTTAAGTGCCACCTACCCACTGCCTTCTTCCTTTCCGGAAGAAGTACAACACCAACAGAATCGACTTTCACATCAGGACAAGCCACTTCCAATCACCGGCGCTGCACAGTCAGTCAGATCAGGCTGATGTGCAAAAAAGCCTCTTACAAGCAGTCACAACAATTTGGATTTCTCGTATTTGTTATGGCCTAGCAGAAGCAAGGCCCCTGGGTTCTGGTTCAGTCCCCAGATTTAAAAAAAAAAAAATCTGAAACCAGACAAGATGGTGCATGCCTGTAATCTTAGCTACAAGCAAGGAAGGCTGATGCGGGAGGATCACTTGAGCCCATGAGTTTGAGACCAGCCTAGATGCCACAGAAACCTTATTCTCAAAAAGTCAAATATACACACACATAAAGTATAATGAAAGTATAAATGGTCTTAGGAGCATTTAGGACTCACCTGACCAATGTGGTATGTCTGCTGGGGGTCCCATAAGGCCTAAAGATCCAGGCATGGTGATCATGCCCACCTATAATCCTAGCACCCAGGAGGTGAATCAGGAGCTGCTCAAGTTCAAAGCCAGCTCGAACAAACATCAAATACAGGTGAAAATGGCAAGGAAACTAGATGTATCTGGTGGGGAACGGAGTTACTTTGATAAAAATGCACTGGGCACATAAATGGGCATGTCAAAATGAAACCTCCATCTGCAAGCACTTGTAGATATAAATCAAGTAAAACAAAATAGGCTCCTGTTGTTTTTGTAAAGCTGAGGATGGAACCTGGGACTTCAGGCACGCCGAATCACATCCCGCCGGAGAGAATCGCTCAAGTAAAAGCCTCATTATCAGCTACCCTTCCACGCCCTCCATCCTTTGCCCAAGACCAATAAGGCTCTGAAGTAGCTTCAGCTAGCGAGACAAGGCAGAGTTGGCACGGGGGACCTGCGCCTAGACCTGATCTGTCTCCTCAGCTTCACCCCTCCGCCCAGCAAGTTGTCAGGGATTTCCCCGGGGGCTCACTGGGCCACCTGCGGCAGCACCAGCGAGTCAGCCTCGCTCAGGGCGATCCGGTCCTTTCTCTCCTTCTGCAGCACCTGCTCCTCCCACAGCGCCTGGTCCACCTGGTCGTCGGTGAGCACCACGGCCTGGTATTTCTCGTCGAAGAGCCGCTCGTTGGCCTCGGAGTGCAGATGGTTCCGCCCGACCACGCGCAGGTGGGCGGGCAGGTGGAGGAACTCGTCGTCGTTGACGTCGCAATCGCGCATCCGGGTCCCCAAGATCCACCAGCGCCCGACGAACCCCACATCCAGGATGCGGCCGGGGAAGTCGACCCAGCGCGGCTGCAGGTGGCGGCAGCGGGCTTGGTAGAGGCTAGCCTGAGCGTCGAAGGGCGCCTCGTACACGAGCGCGCACAGTCCCAGGTTCACGTGGCGCAGGCGCCCGCGGCCCCGCAGCCACAGCAAGCGCTGCACGAAGGTCTCCGCGTCGCGGTTGCGCGTGGCCGGCGCCAGTAACAGAAGCGACCCCGACGCGTCGAGCAGCGCCTCCTCGAAGGCCTCTTCGCCCGGCGCTAGCGCGCAGCACGTCGCCGCGCCGCCCAGCAGCCCCACGTAGAGC